AGGAACGTCGTCTGTGCACCAGCCGATCGTGAGTCGCGTACCTGCCAATGACTTCGCAAAATTGCGCTGCGCGCGCGCGAACTTCGCGGAGATCGGATCGCCATAGGTCTATCTCGGTCTCATTAGTGCAATGCCAAGCCCGAATCGACAAAAGAACATACACTCTTGAAGTGGTCATACAATGTTACATGGCCCAGTCGACCGGTCGCCAGCCTTCGCGCGTATTCTGCCTTCTTTATTGAATGTATTGATACCGCGTCAGTGATTGTCTCGACCAAGCCGGAGTCTTTGCCTGTGATCAGTATTCTGAAACTGAGAGCCGAACGTCAGCTGTGTACACTGAGGACGCCGATCGTACTTACTACCGGACCCAACATGCACAGTTCTCGTCTTTCCAGATCTTCTCGAACTCCTGTATAAGCTGCACAGCGAGCTGCTCTTGTCGAAGATCACCGCCGGTTTTGACAATCACAGATACGCAGTCCCAGGTCGCTACAGGGACGTTTAGATGGACGTTCAAGGGCCGGACCAACTATGACACTGACCGAGGTGACCATACGGTGATGCTTGTCGTATTCGACTCTGGGCGAATTTGGGATGAATATCAGTTAGGCAAGTGTTGTAGGAAACCCATACCTTCTTCGCCGCCCATGACTCGCCCATGACAACAGCAGACGGATCAGCCTTGCTCAACTCCCTCCTGATGATCCCTTCGTCTTCAGCCGTCTTCAGATCGCCCCTCATCTCCCCGATCCGCAGCACGCCCTCTCCAACCCTGTTCTCTCGCATGCGCTCCATACGTTCTTCCTCGAGAGCCAGCATCTCCTGCATGATCCTATCGCGAATTGCGGCTGCCTCCGTAGGCTGTAGCTTCATCCGCATAGCAATATTGTTATTCTGTGGATTCGGGCTACCAATGTCTGAAGATGCAGGCGGGGGAGTATCGTTAGCGGGCGGCATCACCGTAAGCCAACTTGAGCCTGGTAACCATCGCAGTGCAGAGGGTATTTCTGAGCCTGCGGCACCGGGGGTGGGCAAAGGTTCCCGTGCGAGATTAGCGTTGAGTTGAGCGAGCATGACTGCCGCCGTGCGCATGCGTTCAGAATATTCGTCCAGCGAGAGGACCTTGAGTCCGTGATCAGACGTGAGGTTGCTCGTCGATCGACGCATACTTGGGGCGGTAAGGTGCCGTGAGTGAGATTCGTTCTCGACAGCGGGAGACGGCGGCATGGAGGACGACCGGGACCACGTGGCCATGTCGAGCTCCTTGTTCTTCGGCGGAGGGGGCAGAATTATAGTTTCAGAAAGGTCTATGGAGCGAGCGAGGAGAGAATCGTCTGCGCCGTACACTTGTTCGACCAGGTCGATCTCTTCGTCGTCGTCTTCAGGGGTATCAACCGGCGTGACTGGAGCTGCAGACGACGACGAGACGTCCGGCGAGTCCGAGTCACTGAGATGAATGGTATCGAGCCCGATCTCCACTTCTGGACGATCGCGCGTTGCGGCTGCCTGTGACTGCTGCCGCGAGGGAGTAGGGGGTGCTGGGCTGGACGCGCCGTTAAACGCAATCAGGTCCTTGGATGCACCTTTCCGCTCGTTCTCTTTGACAACAATCTTCTTAAGGATCTCTTTATTGCTTCGTTTGCTGGGGTCGAAGTCGAGATCTCCGTGTAGGATCTCAATGAGTAGAAGATACGGTGCACGTTCAGCAGAGTTCAAGACGACACTCTCCCCCGGGGGTATACGGACTATGCGATGGTGAGGCTCTGGAGTACTGGAGGTGGGGTCTGGCTTATCCGTAGATGAGCACCACATTGGCATGCAGACCTGTACCGCAGATTAGTGTTAGCCGGGTAAGAAGTGTTTGGCATGATCTTACCTCCGCTGGTAACAGATGATTCAGGGCAGTCAACTCAGCACGTAAGGCACTCACTCGTGCAGGCTTGGGTACAACGAGCAATCGGTTGCAGATGTTCTCCAGAGCTAGGATAAATTGAATCTTACACATATGAGCCACGATTCCAAGGGATATGCGATGACCATACCTCCGAGCGACAGAAATGCGTTCTGAGGAGATATTGTTGAGCGGCAGGCTCGTATTTGTGTAGCAGAAGTTCCGCAGCATTCTGGCTTCCTCCTCGTCGACTCTGTCGCCAGCCACCGAAAGCTGGCGTCGACTGAAACGGTGATGCGGTTTGTGCGGGCAACGGCGGATCGTATTGTCCGAATGGATCATCGGACAGTCTCGGTTTGCGCGGATCTCGCAAGTGCAATGGCAAGGCCGGGCTCGTCTGCGCTGCTATCGTCTGCCGACGTGCCGGCTGACCGTCTCTGGATCGTAGTCCTTTAACTCGTGCAGCGGACAGCGGCGCTTTGCCTTCCAGAGGTGAGCCCACGAGCTGTGTCTGTGCTTGTTCATCCGAGTCGGACTCATCCCCATCCACGTCTGCTTCATCCTTTTCATCCAAAGATTCCGATGGATGGTCATGTTGCGGTCGAACCACCCCGTCCAGGTTCTCAAGGCTCCTCAGATCATCTCCTCGGTTATCCACGCGGCCTTGTTCGATAGCAACTTCGCCCATAACGTCGACGAGAGCAGGCATACCAGGAGCACCTGCGAGGACGAGCCCAATGCCGACTAGCGCAGGCTGGACATTCGGCCTGACCTTCTTGCGTAAGAACCCAGGGAGAGTGGGAGTGTTGAGGATAGAGTATGGTGCACCGGAGGCTGGAAGATCTGCATAGATCATCCCGTGACATTGGTTGAGGACGCGTTGGCAAATAAGGAAGGACTCCGAGCCGTAGTGTGAGACGGCGAGGTCCTTGAGATGCGCTTGCATGAACCAAAGAGTCTGACAAGGTCAATCGTATAAGCAATAGCCTGTAAGAGATAAGACATACCAACATAGCAATGTGTGTCGACTTTTGGGCAACCTCAACCACAAAGCATTCAAGTGCCCGTGACTGAGATGGACGAGTTACAAGAAGGTGACTGCAACGAAATGCATGGGTTCTGTGCAGTGAGAGAATGTATGTTCATATATGCGCACCAAATGAAGCCCCATACTTCACGCAAGTCGCGTGTGTCGACCTCTCTGAGTCTGCGCGTAAGATAGTAAGTGATCCCAATGTTGTCGGCGTAAATCCTGAGGTATTGCAGGGCGACATGGATGGAAAAGAAGGACGGCGAGAGGAAAAGTCGGAGAAGCAGGGCATGGGACATCTCGGATGTCGACTAGTGGTGTGACATCAACGTGAGGGAGGACAACACGTCGACGCTGTCCCGGACGATGAGCTCGCCGGTGTAAGCTTGGAATTCATCTGACGCCGACGCACTAGAAATAGAAGCGCTCGCGTGCAACAGACACGTCGCTCAGCGCGGAGACGCCGAACTCAAGTCTGCTCGCAGCCATGTTGCTGCTCTTACCCCTCCTCGCTCTTTTCTCTCTCCCATTCTGTCTTGCTCTTACGCCGGACGAGACCCAAGCAGAGCTCTCGAAACTTGCGCAGGCCAATCATGGCGTCATCAAACTCGATGAGCGCACTTTCGACATGCTCACCTCACCCAAGCGTACCTGGTCGTCGACCATAGTGTTTACCGCGCTCGACTCCAGAAGGAAATGTGGACCTTGCAAGTAAGAACGCTCACTCTGTAAAAACTGGCGGGCCCGTGTCTGATCGACGCGTATGTGATCAAGGGAGTTCCAGCCGTCGTTCAATACGGTCGCAAAGGCGTGGACTAAGGTGGCGCCGGCTGAGCGTAATCAACACTTCTTTGGTACCATAGACTTTGACGATGCTATGGCAGTATTCCAAAAGGTTGGGCATGTTACTTTAGCGCGTCTACCGCCCACTGACATTAGCATGTAGATGGGTCTGCAATCCGCGCCTGTCGTACATGTCTACCCCCCTACGGAGGGTGCGCGCAAGCCTGCAAGCGGACGTACTTCTCCTTCGTCATACGACTTCTCTAAGTGAGAGAATACAATACAATTTTTCCTTCTCAAGTCTGACAAGTCTTGTGCTGTAGCGGATACGATCCGGAGCCCCTTGCCGAACAACTATCACGCCACACGCCCGTACCCATCCCTTACAAGGCTCCGGTGGACTGGTCCAAATTCCTTTTCTTCCTTGGTACAGGTCTGATTGGCCTCGTCGCTTTACGCTTCATCGCCCCCATCCTGCAATCCAAGTGGACATGGGCATTGATAACCATTGTGACGACACTCATCATGATCTCGGGCCATATGTTCGTGCGTATCCGCGGCATGCCATACACCGGTAACAACGGTCAGTGGATTGCGGGTGGATATCAAAGCCAGTTTGGCCAAGAGACCCAAGTCGTCGCTATGATATGTAAGTGCCAGAACTAACCTCATTACGATCTTGCATACTCAAAGTTACCGTTACTCTGGATAGACGGACTGCTCGGCGCATCATTCCTCATGCTGACTATGGTAGTTCCTTACCAATTGTCTCCAAAACGGCAGCAAGCTCAGGTCTGGCTGTGGACCATCGTCATATTTATCATGTTCTCAGTTTTGATCTCCTTGTTCCGCGTCAAGAATCGCGGTAAGTGCACATTCTCTCGGCACTGTATATCCTATCTGATGCTCTATTTCAGGATATCCATTCAAGTTGTTACTATAATTATTTGCTTCGATGTTGTTGCCTGTAACGTTACAGTAAAACTGCTACCGCATCGTAGAGTTTGATTAGTGATGATTCTAATCTCGGTATGAGCTCGAACGCATCATCCAAATAGTCCATTATTCGGTTTAACAGAGTCCCTGCACTCATCACAATTCGCGTAAAGATCTCGCAGCTGATGGTCGCAACGCATACGTGTCTGAACTATTTATATCGACATCACCGCAGCTTTATTTGTTCTTGTTGAATCCGGAAGCTCGAAGTTGCCCAAATATATCCTGATCTATTCTCGGCGTGCCCTTTGCTTGACCTTACTATATATATATGTTATATTAAACTTGTACATTTAAGGCTACCTGGCGCAATGGTAGCGCGTTTGGCTTCGATTGCTTAGCGTACCAAAAGGCTGCAGGTTCGAGTCCTGCGGTGGTCGTAATTTTTTTCCGCAGTCTCCATTCAAATTTCAGACTCCAAAACCCGTTAATCTAACCGTTACGCTCGGAAGTTGGAGTTCTTACACTGTAAATAGACTGCAAAGTATCTTTTGATCTTTCAACAGTCGTTCACAAAGCCTCCTCTCACTTGCAATGGTCCCCATCTATCGTACGAACATCTCAACGCTCGCTGCTTGTCCCATAGGAAGACAAAGTACTGACATGCAGCGTACGCTCCTTACTCGAAGACGTAAACAACTATCGATATTTTATTCCTCCTGTCTTTGCTGTAGGGTCCCATCAGGACTGAACACGATGTCACATTTTCGCTGTAGTTCTCACTCCTGTGACGGTTCATGATCGTCGCGACTAGAATTGATCCAAGTGCATTAAGAGTTGACTACGTAACTAAGCTGCGTGATAGATACCATGGATGAATAGCAAAGGACATAACACTGTTCGTAAAACCGTATGTGATCATGACATTTCTTCTAATTGCTAGCCTCCTGTTGAAATACGTCTACATAGCGATTGCGTGCATTGCGCTTGACGTGACTTCTGCTCCGTGCACCAGCGCTGGGCAGACCGTCCATCCCTGGTGGGTCCATTGCAGTCGAGGAAGGGCGAGTAGGTCCGGCGGAAGGTGGCGGAGGGCCAGCAGAAGTTGGTGGAAGTCCAGCAGACATCGGTGTAGTGGGTGCGGAAGCGATATCTGACGGTACCAGGTTTGATCGCACACGCATCGGAGGTTTCCTGGGAGGACCTTCCCCAAGATCGGCAGCCGACGCCGGACGGATCGGTGGTGGGCCTGGGGAAGGCAAGTGAGGCGAGCCATTAGGTGGGTGCGTCGCGGGCGACACGGTTTGTGCGCGTGGGGGTGGTGGGGGCGCAGCGGGCTTGGAAGCCTCGGGAGGTGCCTAGGTGCCTGACTCAGCATGGAAAGCAGGCATATTAACATGATCACGTACGTTCTTGTTCACCCATCGTTTCAGTTCCTTATCATAATAGAAGGAGCTTTCATCCCCAAGGTTAGCCTTCACCGGAGCTGGGCCGCCAGTAGAATCGCTTCGTTTCCACAGACGACTGAGCCAGCCGCCAGAAGAAGCTACGAACTTCCGTGAGTATCAAAAACAGGTCGGTTGTTGCATCATACTACTCACCAGGCTTCTCTTCTTCCTTCTCCTTAGCAGGCTCCGAATGAGTCGCCGAGGTTTCTGCCTGTGCCGCATGTTCGCTTTGGGCAGTACCAACTGGTGTCTTATTGGAAGCGTGATTACCCAATCCCAGCTCATCGTCGTCCTCATCTTCATACTGTTGAGAACTCGGCGTCCTGGAGACCGACGCAGAGGCAGAGAACGTAGGTACATCCATCAAGGAAATGAAGCCATCAGACGATGTATTTGCGAAGCTTTCCGGATGTTCGAAGGATGATGCGGTCGGTGTGGGGACGTCGGCCTCAGATGAGCCCCACCAGGAGCCCATTTGCGGGCCTGCGGGAGTCTCGGGAACAGACTCTTCCTCTTCTACACTTACATCAGTGAGTCTGCTTGGTCGCTCGATCTTGGGCGTTGCCTCAGGAACCGGCGCATATCCATTGGGGGTATATGCTTGCATGCTCGACGCGGAAGACGAATCACTGAATGTAGGTGCTGTTGCACTTGCAGACGATACTCGCGGTACAGGCGACGGTTTGCGCCTCAAATAATCAATGGCCGATGACGCGCGTGCGATCTGGCCATTGGAGGCGGACATAGGCCGAAGGGCCATAGCAGATCCTGTCCGTGTTGGAAGCGAAGCAGATGTCATACCGTTAAGATTCGTGGTAGACATGTGCGGTGAAGGTTCCAGCGACGGAGTCGCGGAAGAGATCGTGCTATAGTGGGCGAATGGTCCGCTGAACGAAGGCTCCTTCTTGTGTGTTTCCTCATGTTTGGGAGACTCGTCTTCGCCCGCTATGAAGCTCGTGAAACGACCTTCTAACCAGTTTCCGATTTTATCTAGACTGGGCTTCGTCATCTTAGAACCTATCCAAGAGCCGGATTTGTCCACTACAGGCGCAGCTGTGAGACGGTCCGTTAGACTTCGCAGCTGCTCGGCGAATGCCGCAGTAAGATAGGGCGATGAACGTGTGAGCGAAGCGGAGATGGCTTCACAGTATCTGTCGGCAGGTCCGGATTGAATGATCAAATCCACAACTTTCAAACCATAACATACCTGGTGGCCAACTGCACATGTCCCAGCTCCGCTAACGACATCGCACGGACCAGTCTATATGGCTGCAGATGCGGTAGACCACTAAAGGGCTCTTGTCCCTTCGTCGGGGGAACCAATGACAGGGCAAACTCGACGATCTCAGAGAAGATGAGGGGATCCGGGTCTTTCCAGAAGTTTGGTTTCGAATGCGGACTTGGTGCACCATAAAGGATGACGCGCACGGACGGCATGCCAACACCACCTACAGGCGAAGTCTGTGGAGAAAGCAAATAACTGAAACGGTTGTGAGCCTTCACGTCCCGGTGTGTTTTGGTAAAAGGACGTACCATACATGTGCCGCTTCAACCCACTGGTTTGCATTGAGTTGGTCGCCTAGTGCTGTCAGTGCCGACGAAGCCTCAGAAGTCAGCGGACTGCTGATAATCATCGCCGCCGTCTCAGCCCACTTCGCCAGAATGTCAGCGGGGCATATGGAAGGCTGGAAAGAGGGAGGGAAACTGGCTGTCATGGGTGTGATAGCTGCCGTAGGCACCGGTATTGCACTAAGCTGCGCTAGGCTAGTCAACGGTTTAGGTGGCATGAGTTCCGAGACTACAATGTGAGCGAAGTTAGAATAATACAAAAAGAAAATTTTGCTGAGCTTGCCTGAAGCAGGACCGTGACCAGCAAACAGCGAATAGGCCACTCTTAGCGGTTCTCGACCAGTAGCTACCACTTTCGTCTCCGCCGTCGGTCCAGTAGCACCCTTGAGTACCCCAGAGTCTTTGCTAGTAAGCTCCGAGCGAACGAACTCATTCACAACCTCCTTCCAAGCCTCCTTGTCAATGCTACTTGCGATGACCATCGCATGCGCCCAAAGCTTCTCATCTGCCGCATACTGATAAGCACCATGGCGATCTCCACGCAACAGCAGTTGTTGAATTTTGTCCAAATTTGACGTTCGTACTGTGTGCACAGCGACAGTAGCATCGTCCGCGCTGTTCAAATGAGAAGCAGCGTCGCCGTTGTGCGGAAAACCAAGTGCGGGAGTCTTGAAGCTTTCGACTGATTGATCAGCAGTCACATCAAGCCCAGGAAGTAGGGCAGCACGGACGGCAGAATCAATCTGAGCGCTGGAAATACTGCTATCAGTAGATTTTCTTACATGCATCGAAAGAATTACATACCTGCCAGAAAGTCGACCATCGTTCTCAACCAAGACCTTGAGCAAATTGATCAATATATGCTTTGCTTCCGCTCGGTAACCCTCTAAACTGCCATGATGTAGATACCCAAGACCACGTGAGATCTCCTCGCTGCGCTCTTCCAGATACTTGATGACACGCGCTTTTTTCGTCTTCGTCTGCGTGGTGGCCCCAGTCCGAACGAGTGTTGTTGATGGCGTTCCTGGATCACTGAACAGTGGTCCCGGATATGATGCTGCCGACGTGTCCAGAGCAGATTGTGGTATGACCTTGTGCAGAGGTCGGATATGTATATCGGTAGATGGTCGCGAAGACATCGCAGCATCCAGCATAGACGAGCTATGGAAGCAAGTCACAAGCTTCCCGCCAAACCCGAAGCTAACGACAGGTATTCGCACCGACGTACGTCCAAGAGGATCATTCGTACCTAGCAATGAAGGCGAAGGAGCGTATGGCGCAGCGGTCGGTGGCACCAACGCTATCTGGGAGGGGGGTATGGGGAGAGCAGCCGCGACATAATCAGTGGGCGGAGACATCGCAGAAAAGCTGCTGTAAGCAGATGCATCATACGTCTGTTGCCGACTAGGGTGCTTGGAGGGCGCATAAGGATCTTCGGGGATAGTGTCATACACAGAGCTGTTCGACGTAGACCTTTCGCGGAGCGTAGAGGTGCCAGTACTGGCAGATGAAGGGGCGTAAGGGTCGTAGGGCGCACTATCACGTCTTGTCGTAGACCCAACGGAGCGGATGGATTGTACTGACTGTGTCGAGTGAATAGAGCGCACCGAGAAAGACGACGGGGAAGCCGTCCTATGCGTAGCCCCTACATGCTGCAAGATTGACGCAGGCGGCTCAAAAGCACCAGCTGGGCTGCGTTGAGAAGCAGCTGAAGGTGGTCGTTGCTGAACGGGTCGAGGTGGAGGGGGTGAAGCAATAGCACTGCGATTCTGATCCAGACTCGATCTTTTCAGGCTTGACGAGGATTTTACTGAAGAACTTCCCGGAGACTTTGCCCTGACGGGGGACAATGTACGAGATGGCGGTTGCGCTGGAAGGCCATTCGGTTTATACGGATCATACACCGCCGCGACGGGTGAGGAAACCGATCCTTTGGACGAGACCGGGGAAGAGATCCTTTGTGATGTTTGGGATTTGGGTGATGTTGGTACGCTCGGTACTCGTTCTTCTGGAACCCAGGCGTGATTTTGAGCAGCGTTCTGTGCAAGCGCGGCATCCCAAGAACTTTCTGGGTCAACTACATCGTCATGCGCAGGGGCGGTAGAGGCATACGCTTTAGGTGGCGACGCTACGGTTGCTGCGACGAACGGTGAAACGGGTGGTAATTTCGATTGCGTAGTCTCCCATGGCGGATGCGCGTCCGCGCCGGAGGATTCGATGTGGGGAAGACCAGCAGCCGGAGTAGATAGTGGTGAAGCGTCGTATGTTGACCGGACATCACCTGTAACATCACGTCCCGGAGCGTCGTGAGACGGAGGAGGCATTCCATCATACTGAGTGCCAGGTGACTGAGCGCGATTCAGCCACTGAGACGTCGGCGCATAAGGGTCTCCGCCTACGTCACCGTACGGCTGGGCAGGCTG